CCAGCCCTCAGTGAGCTGGGAGAACAGGAATGTTTCTTAAATTCAATATCCGATGAAGGTCCAGGATGGTCTAACACGATGCGGTGATATCTACAGAGCGAGATGAATTAATGAGAAAGTTTGGCTACACTCGAACTAGCAAACAGCCCAGGGTCAGGGCCCATTCTCTGGCTCTAAATCCAGCTGGAATGGTCTGGCCGCAGCTGTAATATTAAATCCTTTTAGCCCCCAGAACTGGGTGGCTGCCTCTGAGCTGCCCACGGGAATGGGTTTGGGACTCTGCTCATTTCCAAACCATGGCTGGGACCTGCTCGGGACCATGCTGGCCAACCCCGCTCAAAACCAACCTCGCTGACAATTTAACAATACCAGTCTTTAACAGCCCAGGCCCTACCACTGTGTAATTTATTGGTAAAGATATTCCTTTCTGGCCATTTTAGTTCAGAGGGATGGGTCTGCAAACTTCTTTTGTTTAGAGGCTGAGCCCAGCGTGTCCCTTATCTATCTCAGCGTGTCCCTATTCAATGACACAGTAAATATAAAGACAGCAAAATCCACCCTGCACGCTGCGGGGACTCCAGCACGTGGGACGGGAGAGTTTGGGCATGGTGGCATGAGGCCAGCATCCCCAACCGACAACTATCTGCAAAGAGTGCGAGCCCGGGGCTGGAAAAGGTAGGTTTGGTGATTTGTCCTGCTATTTAGATCCAGTTTTAATTTTCTCCTTTGTCATACGGGCATTTGTCAAACACAGTTGTGTAGGACAGGCTCTTCTACAGCCAGCACTGAATGTGTTCATGTTAAACTTGCAGGGCAGGTCTTCCAGCATATTAAGACCTTGACCCCGCAAGTCTCTCTCAAAGGTGAAGCAAAAAGCAACAGACTAGCGTTTAGGCAGAAGGGCGAGGAGGTCCAGGAAAAGTGTAAGGGAAGGAGAAGTCTCCCCACCTCCCTTCTCAGTATTCTCAACAAAATTAAATTCAAGCTCAAACCCTGCAATCGCAGAGCAGGTAGAGGTCAGGGTGAGGCAGAGCACAGCAGGGTTAAACCAGGACTGAAGTGTAACAAGGCTGCGATATGGCTATGTTTACGGGACAGTTAAATCATCTCTTAAATCACCTCATCAAAAGCAGACTATCAGATCAGACGTGCCTGTACCTGAACTACTCACCTAGGCTTGCTTTAGAGCCTGTGGAGACAAACAGGCTCTTCCAAGGCACTGCCAGGGACCAGTACAGCTCATCTGCAGACTGGTCAAGTCCTGCAAATGCCAGTTTGTCCCCACTGACTCAAAAGGGAGCTGAGGGTGACTGTCTCGGATACGGATGTCTGCCCCGGGGACATCTGTACCCATACCTCCTTCACCTGCTGGGGAGCAGCCCTCTTGTGACTGCAGGAACAACCCGACCTGTACTCCCTGCTCTGAAACTTGCATGTGCTGAGGACTTGCTGGATCGGTCCCAAAGCTTTATGTAAAACGGCTGTGATGTGTATTTATATGAATCATATACATTAATTACATAATAGACACTCATGCTCCCCATCCCACATGCACTTCGGTTATGCATAAGACACAAAGGCTGAGAGCATTCACTGTGAATCATGCAATAAGACTACGTTCCTCAGGCAAAACTCTCTCTAAAATGACCATGTGCATATATTCCCATGGTTTCCACTACAATATTATTTAATTAAGAATATTAATCTGCTAGGCCACCAACTTTCACTGTCTTCTGGGGAAGTCTGAGCAGACAGATATTTTCATAAAATATGGGGAATCCTGCTCTTTTTATGACTGAGTTGGTGCAATAAGGTAAGTCAATTGCATGGCCTCATGAGCTTACTTTTTATTTATTCTTGAGATGAACGTGGGACTTACGCACCAGAGAGATCAAAAGTTGCATGAGTGATGCCAGATAATCTTTTTTTGCTTTGCTTTTCAGCTATTGCTGTTGAATACTGCCCAAATATGTGTGGCGCATCATTAATGAGTTGTACGACACTGCAAATACAGCACTGATCCCCATTTGGAGAATAAAAGATGAATACTTGAAGTTTGACAGCCGTGGGCACTCATTTGCACGTGCCTGCAGCATGCACGCAAACATTTCAGTTGTGCAAAGAAATCAGTCTAGACACTGACACGACCAGTTCAGCCACATTACACCAGCCTGCCCCAATAACTCCTCAGGGTTGCAGCCTGCTGCCCTTTTCCCCTCTCCCATGGGACGGAGAACTGCATGAACTGCTGTGGCAGTCCCCCATCACCTCCTTTCCTACAGCTCCAAACCTCTTTTGATCCTCAGCCTAATCTGTCATGGAAACACAGGCGTCCTCATCACCGAGAGATGTACCCATCCCAGGATGGGGAGGAACACCATCATTTTGGCCGTGGATGTGTTTCTGGTCATGGGAGTAACCATCAAAAATAGCTCTCGAGGGCTGCCACTGACAATACAACCATGAAACTCCCTTTTGAAGGACACATTGTTTTATTAGATGGTATATTTTCAATGTCTGGGTGAGCACAACTTAAGCAGTGGTCTAGGCAGAGCCATGGAGGCCTGTGGAAAGGCTGGATGATGTGAAATTGTGGCAGGTAGGAAATCCTGTGCCTGTAGGTGTGACATCCAAGGCCTAAGGGGGAAGTTTTACCCATTTTTCCTCCTGCATGATGTTAAGCAACAGGCAGTAAATATGGCATTCATTAAAATTACCTTGTATACTTTTAACAGCCTTGATAATCAGATTTCTGCCACTGTATCGGAAAGCAAAGTTTGTTTTTATTCAAGGCCTTGTAAAACTCTAATTTCTCCCTCATGCACTGGAGATGCCTGAAGTTTTCTAACGTTTTTAGTGTTTCTTAGAAGTCATTTTTTTCCCCCCATCAAAGCTCTGTTCTCCTCTGAAAGATGTATCAAGTAACTGAGTGAAGATTCACGTTTCTCTGTGTGCGAGGGATAAACTGGTTGCTGTATAGGTCAGCTTTAAACTTGCATTTCTCTCTCTACTTTATACACAAAAGGGGTCAGATCCTGCCCTCCCTCCCTGTGGCACTGCTAGGTAGAAACCCCTGAGAGAAACCGCAGCGTTCGCAGCTGGGGCTGCAACCTGCCTCCTTGCAGCCTGAGCATCAGAGCTGGTCCTCCACCCAGGAACGTCGCTCTGTATTTCTGAACGTCAGCAAACACTGCAGACAACCTCCGGCACTTGTGGAAGATCAAAGTCCCCTTTTTCAATCTTGAATCTAACTGGAAGCAAGATCCTCACACAGGGAAAAGGTAAGAGCATTGTGGAGGCGCCGGTCAAGTCCCCAAAAGATGAAGGGCAAGAAGCGTGAAGGCAACTGACTGTAGAGTACAGCAGAAAAGTTCAGTCCTCGGCCACATAATATACACAGCCAGGCTTTTTAGTCGTTCTGCCTGTGCCCACATGCCAGGCACTCATGTCTGAATACACACAGACAAGCAAAGGGCTGCAGGGCAAGTATGCAGCGGTACAGCTGCCCTGTGTCCCAGCCCAGCCTCTCCTGGAGGTATTGCTGGGGGCACAATTGCAAAAAATAACCCATTTGACAACACAGACCATCAGGAGGCTCTGACTCAAAGGGAACCTGTTTCAGGCCAAACAAAGCACTTCCTCAGCATCAAGCCCATCAAGTTTTTTGAACGAAGTCAGCGCATTGCATGGAGAGCCCGCAAGAACCTGCTCCGCTACCCTCCAACCCTCGGCCCACATGGAGATGTTTGGCATCTCTGAGAAGGCAGGGCGCACTAGGACCGCAGAGTTTTTTGCAGCTGTTTGTTTGAGAAACAAAGCTTCCCCCCTCCAAGATGAAAGAAATCAAGGAGTCTACACTAATCAAATCCTACATGCCTGCTGGCTGAAGTTCAGCTTGTCAGTGATGCAGCTCAGTGGAGTGATCAACATTTTCAGCGCTATGAGCTTGGTGGAAGGGGAAAATACGACAGCAAGAAATTCACCTGGCTGCGAGTCAAACAGGTGTATGGCAGCAGCATCCAAGATTATAATAATATCTTGCAAACATGCAAAAAATAGATGTAATAAGACTGATTCTTTGGTTTTCATTAATGAATCATAAAGGCTTTCTTTACATTACACATGCTTTTTTGGCATACGCTGCTAATATTTCCACACTTGCAAGGTTGGAGTTTTAGTACTGAGCCTCCCTCCCCTAAGGTTCCTCATTTTTGGCAAGATATACAAGGTGACTGTGTGCCATGACAGGCTCTATCTTACTTTGGGGCAATCAGATTACTTCACACAGATGGTTTTATCACTGAGACCATTAGAGATGAATTGCACAGTATGTAAATGCACATTTGTTTGATAAAAAAAAAAGTCTCAGTTCCTTGCTGCTGTCTTGTCTATGTTCCTAAACGTATTTCCTCTCTCCCGCACCATTCCAAAGCACAATTTGTCCAATCTTTACCCTACAGTGACTCAGCTAGTTTCTGATAGGCATCTTAAGTACACATTAACTAAGGAAATAGGCTTTCTTGAGCTACTGGATTGAAATGCGGGAGAATGAACCTTAGCCTTAACTACTGAAGTGATAAAGGCATCTATCTGTCAGGATGCCTAACAGCACACACACCACAAAAATAAAGCACCAAAAAATAGAGAATATCACAATTACTTTAAAACATGCAAGTAAACATCCTCTTGGGGCCGGGGGGGGGGAGAGAGGGGGGGGGGGGGGGAAGAGAGAATTTGTTCATGGAATCAGATTCACAATTAAAAAATAGTCTGATCTGAAATGGACCTAGAGACATTCAAATGATACATGCTCAGAGCAACACAGCAGCTCTTCCACTTCGGGAAAAAAGGGACTTTGACCCCCGCCCGCCGTGCAGTAACCCTGTTATCACCGACTGAGCTTTGCTCTTCTTATTAAGGTTTGTCTGAGGCCACGGAGGCAGCCTCTGCCAGTCCTGTTCCTATCCGCATAACTGTTTTAGGCAAAACACGGTCTTTACCTGAGAGGCGTCTGGGCACATCGGTGATGGCTGGAAGTCCCGTGCCTCGAGTGGAGGACAGGGGAGTTGTGGAGTGAATGGACGGTGAAGTCATCTGGCTCAAGTAGGATGGGTAAGACTGGTCATAGGACCATGGCGGGGACGACTGCGCCTGCCTGGGGTCTAGGGGGGGAAAAAAAAAAAAAAGAATTTTTTTTAAAAAGGAAGAAAAATTGTAGGGCATCAACAGCCTAATTGAAAGAGGTGGGATTACTGAATATACACACGAGTGCTATAAGGAATGAGAATGCAATGAAACATGACCTGCTCCTCTAGGACTCAACCCCTTCAAGTCTCACTCTGTGCTTTTCCCTCCCTGTAACAATTTTTTGGGGAAATGAACAGAGCAGTGAGCAGAGTTTTAAAAGACCTAGCAGCTGTGCTGCAAATTCCTAACGTCTCTCATCCAGGTCTAACAGCATGTTATACCAGGACTTACCAGTCCTCGTGGATTCAGACAGATAAGCAGACCGTAAGTACGAGACCCAGGTCTGAGCTTAGGAAGTGGACTCAGAGGTGGGGAGACTCTACAGTCAGCACTTGGCACGCCTGTCAAGTTGTTATCCAGTTCAAACATTACACAGTAGTGTTTTCAGTGCTGAAAATACTATCCAAGAAGGAAAATGTCATTAATCTTATCAGCATCCGTCCAAAAATGTCACATTTGGATGCTGGCCCGATTACCCACAGTCACCTCAATTACAACAATATGAAATCAAATGGTTTGGAATAACTATCGGAAGCTAGCGATGCCTTTTGATGTATTTGCTACAGCTCACTATGGAGGAAATGATTTTAAGGATAAATACAGTTTATTTTTTGCTGAAGAACTGGTGGATTGGACTGAGTGAGAGAGAGGGAGACCTAGTTTTACTCACTGGTATTTGGATTTATAAACCATTTGCTCTCTGTTAACATCTGGTGATAAAGATACCACTGAATGCTTCATAAATTATTATTTTTATTTCTTTACATTGATAAAAACAAAGCACTTTCAACCCCAAAGTTTGTTTTGGGCTCTGCACGATAAACAGAAAACTGTCTCTGAACTGGCTCATCAAAATTGTAGTACATCCCTCCAAATCCTCTCCAATATTTTCAGTGAAGCACATCGGGTCCACTCAGTTTGGAGAACCTGCTATATCAGAGCACTGCGCTAAGGCCCTACTTTCTAGACAGCAATGTGATAGCCACATGGCATAAACAAAGGCACTTTTTCAGGAAATTCAGCTTTTATTTTTCTTTTTTTAACTCCTTTCCCTGCTCTTCTACACAAGAAAACCTTGTAGTTTCAGCTATTCCTTGTTTATTTTTTCTGTTCAGACATGATTTGTTTGAAGAGATATCTGGAAAGCAGATACTTCCTTGAAGCAGAAAAACTATATAGATATATTAAAAAAACCCCAACTTTCCAATTTAATTTTAAGAGGATTTTCCTAGAGTTTGCCATTTATATTAAAGCTGAGTAATATAAATGGTTAACATAAACTCCTCAGAAATCTGAAGGACACTTGATCATTAAATGTAATGAACTTCTTTGTTTTAACAATTTCAAGGCTAGGGTTGTATAGATTGGCGCAGGTTCAGATCTGACTGACTGCTCGTTGTTCTATCTGATATCGACATATTTCTCTGCCTCATTCCACTACTATAATTCACCATTCAGTCAATGGTAAATGATCTTCAACTGGGAACGGAAAACCTAGGCTTGCTGGGAAAACAATCTCAGAATTAATGATGTGTCAGGAGCACAATCTCAAATCTGAGCTCCTTCAAACTCCAAGAGCTTTTCAATCTCTGCTTCCGAATCCAAAACAGGGTCCCTTAAAGTTTTGGTTTTAGGTCAGCTCCAATGCTGGAAGGAAATTATATAGCAGGTAAAGGCTAGGAAAAAAATCACAACAGAGTATGTTTTCACAGGGTTTTGGACTAAGATGGTGAAAACCTTGGGAAAAGAGCTGCCTTCTGGAGGTTCATGCCACTTCTTATAGTGCAATCCTCATGGCATGAGATCTTGAGCATCTCTGGCACCCTCACCACTTTGAACACCCATGCTAGACTTGGTTTTACACCTAACATCCTTAATCCAACAAGTGTGAATGCCTATGTGGGCACAAGAAGGACAAATGGCAAAAAGTGGTCTTTCAAAGGCTCATGTGGCCTTTCAAAACAGTAACTCATACTGCGCTGTCAGAGGCAGGATATGGGGCTGGATGCACCATCAGTTGACCCAAAAGCATATCATAAATTCTTACGACAACTAGCTTAAATTTATACATGGCTTCTATAGCTCATCCCAACCTCAGCGCCACATTACGGCATTTCTTTTTTATATATATATTTGATTTCAGCTCTTCATGAGTCCAGTACTGTAAGATTTTAAACTGCAAAGTACTTTAGAGAAAGAGAAAAGAGAGGATGGACTGTTAGCGAAGACATGACTGAGGTCATGACAGAAGCAGGGTGGGGAATTTTGCCTTGGGGCTGACGGGCTTCAAGCGTTATCTTTGGCCCGTTAGGAAACTGGAAACTGAAGATAAGAAGTTTCATCAGATCCTGAAGTGAATACCCTAAAATCCTATCAGTACTTAAAGGGGGCTTACAGAAAAGATGGCAGCAAACTTTTTAGCAGGGCCTGTGGCGACAGGACAAGGGGGAATGGCTTTAAACTAAAGGGGGGTAGACTAAGACTAATCTACGGAAGAAATTTTTTACGCTGAGGGTGGTGAAACACTGGCACAGGTTGCCCAGAGAGGTGGTGGATGCCCCATCCCTGGAAACATTCGAAGTCAGGTTGGACGGGGCTCTGAGCAACCTGCTCTAGTTGAAGATGTCCCTGCCCATGGCAGAGGGGTTGGACTAGATGACCTTTAGAGGTCCCTTCCAACCCAAACTATTCTACGATTCTATTCTATGATTCTATGAAAACCAGCCTCCGCTCACTGATAGCAGCCAAGGTTTGCATGGACATGTGAGGAGAGAGCAGCGAAACGTCCTTGCCTTGCCAAGTCACAGGTGATCTGCTAGCCCCCAGGGTAAACATTACTGCTTAGCGGCATTGCACAATCCCCAGGGTAAAACATCGCGAGGCAGAGTCCAAAGCCACCCCGTCTACTCCTCGAAGGCAGACGTACAGCTGGGTCTCATGCAGCACCCTTTGGTCCCACCAGCAGATGTTCCCTGCAACAGGGCTGGAGCCAAGACTTCAGCCACTGAGGTGCAACCAGCCCGTCTCTTCTGGTTCCACACGCCACCAAACCAAATCTCCTGGGGGAAGGAGGGTGCCAGGGGTGTCATGGGGAGGTGCCTGACAGTGCTTCTGGGGCAGATCCAAGCAGATGCTTGTTGGGGAAACACAACGATGTCCTTAGGAGGGTCACCTCCTCCTCACTTGGGCACAGAAGGGGTGGAGTGGCTATTTAGCCGTACCAGCAGGGATGAAGCTACGAGTGGATTTGTGAGAGGTATTCCTTGGTCTGCTATGCCAAAAACCAGCTTCCCTGTTCGCTCTGGCTGGAGGGCTCACACGTGTCTGCCAGGTCCCTGAGGGCCAGGGGCTTTACACCAAAGCATCACATGCTCTGGCAGGCACAGCACCTCTTCCCAATCATGAAAAGCCCAGAACAGATGAGAAACCCGAGAGCTCTGAGGCAGAGCAAACGTGGATTCCTCCCTAAAGGAATCGCTCGAAAACAAGGGAAAACGCTACTACAAAAATACACTGAACAGCTCCGGGAAAGCGTCCCACCTTCCCGTATAGCAACCATGGGGAAGGTCTAGTACAATGACAGCAAAGGAGGCAAAGGGCCACTTTGAGTTGGCATTTGCACTTGAAAGTTTTGGAGTGATTACTAAGAGCAGTACTCTTTTTGTAAACATTTCTGTTACACCTGCGTGGGTGTGAAGAAAAGTGCGTCTTTCAGCATTTTCGTTCACAACAGGGCATATCGTGCGTATACTAAGAAAGCCTGGCCACAGTTCAGCTGAAACAAGTCAGCGGGGCGAGGTCTAAACTAATGCACAAACAGCTCCGTCCCGTTTGCACTGCCAGGTAAACCTCGCCAAAGCAGGAAATATTGAGTATTGCAAATTATTTTGTGTCTAGGTTTTACTGCCACATTTACAGTCAGTGGGAGGTATACATCGTTCTTGACTCTTGTGGTCTGTGATTGACTGCAACAATGGACAACGGACATTGATGCTTAATGGACAGTAAGTGGTTTTAAAAATCAGTCTAAGATTGGATGCACAGTATAAAACTAAAAAAAAAAAAAGAAAGAATGAAAAAAACCCCCAGTGACCCATTCTCCCACCGATGACATTGGCTCTCCAGCAATGTGACTTCTCTTCCTTCAGTGGAAATGTTCTGAAGCGTTAATGGAGAGAAGAAAAAACCCATAAATATCCCTGAAGAACGAGTTTTTCCACTGCTTTGGCACTGGATTATGAAGCACACAGATTTACTACAGAAAAAAAATCAATTTCCCATTTCCCAAGCTGAGTTACATGATCTGAGCATGATCACAGGCTCGCAGCTCCTCCGCGTACCGTCTATAACACCCCAACGTCACATGCATGCATGCACTTCACAAAACCACTCTCATTTAAATCCAGCCATCAGCTCTAGCACTGGCTGCTGCTGACTGTATTAGTGCTACTGCTGACACTAAAAAACAAGCTGTTTGGAGTTATCTTTGGAAAACACTTAAAGCAAATATCCTCACTTCTGATCTTAACGAAGCCAAGATGACTTTCTGCATGAGTAACCCAACTATTGTTGTAACACCGCCCCCCCAGCAAAACAACAACAACAAAAATGCAACTTCCTTCTCTTCTCTGACTATTTCTTAGGCATCTTTAAAAGCCCAGGGCTTGATCTGGATTGCCCAGTTCAATCAATGAAGCCAAATCCAATGGAGTTACACCCCAATGTACAGAAGCGTAATTGAGACCAGATTTTGGCCTGAAGAACCTCTAAAACCGTTTCTCCTCCCAGCCCCCCAAGAGTCACATTTCTAAAAGAAAAAAAAATAAACTGAACAAGTCATGCCAATAGGGCAACTAAATTGTAAAGGGGGGGAAAATAAAGTTAAAAGAATACTTTAATAGGAGGGACACAAGCTTTACCAAATGGAGGTTCACAATGGCAACTCCAGTCGCCTGAAGGATGCAATCAATTTGCATAAAATACAGCAGACTGCAGCCACCCTTGCGTTCATGGCAGCAGAAATCCCAGCTCCACTACCTCATCTGCTGAGTCTTGTAGCTTTTATTCCATGTTGCAGTGAGCTGAAGGCATAATTCACCCTATAAGCCTATTACTTGGGCTATTTCTAAATTATCTGTTCCAGGCAACCACATACTTTGCCTGATGTGGTCTCAGATTGATGCGCACCAGCTACAAACTGGTGTGTGCTTCGGAGTGCTGCTGGTCCCGGGTAGAACACAGCCAACCGCTGGCAGGGCACTTGCATAGTGCCGGTCTAATAACAGCTACACAGCTTCTGTTTCAAACCTGTCCTGCAGCTGATGGTCTCGGAGAACAGACACTGGTCTTTGAGGCAGATGCTGCACAGCTTCATATCCAGAGCCCAGGACAACACTGTGATGAGCACAGCTTTCTGCCTTCTCCTTGACTCTGCAAAAGGGCAGCGTCCAGCCCATTGCCTGCAGGTCCTGAATGGGGGAATTAAGGACCGCCCAGCTGGTACCATCCTCATCCTCCATCTGAGAGTTGAAGGTGCTTTCTGCCCAGGGTCTTCCCAGCAGACTCAGTTTACACTGTCCCCTGAAACCAGTCCCTGCCTGCCAGTGGAGGTGGGTCCCCCCACTAAATTCCAGGTAAGCCAGCTCTGAAGCCTTTAAATCTGCTTCCTACAACCCTAAAAATGATGAGAAACCGAAGCATAACGTTGCTGAAGTGCAGGGTTGGGGGGAAGAGGAAAAGGGAAAAAAAAAAGATTTCACGGGACCTGCTTTTGAGTGCTGTTATTTCAGCGATGAAAGTCACAGGTTGCCTATAGATCAGACGGTGCCACAGTGGTGATGGAGCATGAAACCTCACTTAACTCCCACTTCTCAGCCCCTGCAGCCCAGCCACCGGGGTCCTCGCGCCGACCACATTCCTGCCATTACACCCATGGCTTTTCCCAGCCGATAGAAGCTAGTCCTCACCGGTTGCATTTTAGAAAAACAACAGCTTTCCTCCTTTCATACTGCACCACTGATGCAACAGCTCGATGTCTGAACAGGAACGTAATCGGATACGTGAGCAAGTTGTGCGAGTGCCGTTAGGGAAAGGGGAAAAAAATAAAAAAGCAAATATACCAGTATCCAAATGTGAACAGACAGGATTCCTGATTTACGGGCAGCAAGCAGGGTTCAAATTGAATCTGCATTGCCTCAGCAAAGGCATCTGCTTATTGGACAATTTGTTTTTTAATGACCCTTCGATGTTGCTTTTGCAGAATCCTAGTTAAAATGCCATGTTGAATGAGGGCAACTCTATGCCTTGTACTGCCACAGCCTGGCCCTCTGGTAGGTTTAGGACTGTGCCGTGATTTGTAAAACCTGTACTCTGATACTCTAGGAAAATAAACACAACCCAGACAGAGAAAAGAAATATAAGAGCGAACCCCAAAGTGCTGAGTTCTTTCAGACTCAGGTGTGGGCCAGCTTTAAATATTATTTCTGTTTAATCATGCAATAGCTATGCAAGACCTCAAGTGGAATGAAACAAAAACAGTTTATGTGCTTACTAGCAATAATATGGATTTTGTCATAGGAAACCAGTATTTACTGTTAAAGTTATTAGGAATTAATTATTTTCCCTAAATTACTAGGTAAAAAGATTAAGAAACAAAGGTATTTCTAAAGGAATGATTGGTTAATGCTTGGTTAATTCCAATAAAGGTAATGAAAAAATCCTTGTTTTTTGGACAAGGATCTATTCTCCTTTTAATACATACCCAAGCCGTACCAGCCCAGTGACCATGTTAAGAAGCCAGTGGGTAATTCCCACTGAATATTGCACCACAACAAGGAAACTGGTGGAGGTGGACAGCCCAAACAGCTCGCTCCCTACTACCACACCAAACAGGCGGACGTTTAGCAATTTCCCATGGTCACCTAACACCCGATCAAAGAGGTGCCTCGTCTGCGGCATCAACTTTGTCTCTCATTGGCACGGTTTGTGTGGCAACAAGCATCCATTCATCCCAGAAGAACTCTGGGATGTCTGCAAAAAGCATCCCAGCACTTTGGTGGAAGATCAAAGCACGTAGAGCTTTACAGATTACAATCAATGTCCTGAAGAGCACCAAAGCGCCTTGTGGGGAAGCCAGTGCAATTCACGGAGCTCGCACCGATGTAACATGCTCACGCTAATCGCCTTATTAAATGGGAGGGCTACCAGTAAGCTAACGAGTAGCCTTTGAGGGCTGTGTGTTTGACTTTTCTAAATTGAGGAGGAGACAAGGGTGGGGAATAACATGGCAAATACTGTATTGGACCACAATACAGCCCCGTATTCACTGCAAACTTTAATAAGCAGCCGAGTCCTCACTGCTTTGGGGGAAATGAGAGCAATTTGGGATTCTAAAGCATCCCACGACCATGAGTTTATCCAGCAAGAAAAGTGCATAATCCACAATAGATGGGAAAGTCAGCCTGCCTCCCTTGGATCAGCTCACCTCCCTCTGCCCTACCAGCACCACATCTTGCCTCTCTCGATGAAGTCTCAGCCGGTACTTTGAACTGCTAACTCTTAAATTTGCAGAGAAGACAGAGAATGCCACACAGCTCTGTTTCCAGTCAGGCTTATTTAAAGCTCATCTGAAGTTTTCACCTACCGGATCTGTAAATGCTGCTGCCGATTCATAACGAGGCAGAGAAGTGCTCTATTAATCAAACCCAGCAGAACATTTTCTACAGGAGGCATTTATGTGAATGAGAGCAACATATGAGGTTACACTGAGCTAGGAAGAAAATTACAAGGGGATCTCAGTTCTCGTGCTTCAGGGCATAAGCTGATCACCAGATGGGGTCAGGAACAATTTCACCCTCCTTCGTTCCTAGATATAGTGTTGCACAATAGGTAAACTATGGAGGCACAAGGAAGAAGGCAAAAAGCTGATTATAGCCCCAGTTTTTCCCCCTGCTTTCTTGGGAACTACGTCCCCAAACACTGCCAGACAGAAGACAGTAGGTTAGAAAAAATACCGGGCTTCATTTTGGCAGTTCTGACCCAAAAAATGATATGCACAAGAGCCCTGACTTGACATGTCCAACTAACAAAACACTAAGCCCAGCCAGAAAATCTGCTCTGGGAAGCTGGTGGGCAGCAGGCACCTTGTAATGAGTACTATCGACATATTTAATATATTATAAATATTTTACGCTAGTTAAAGCTAGACTTCTAGATCTGGGAGAACTTTGCCACAGCTCATGGGAACAATATTTTTTTTTCAATTCTCTGACTGCTTCGGGTTCAAATTAACCCACTTAACTTCTCTTTCTTACTGCAAATTAATAAACCAGTGGAACTTAAAAAACAAGAAAAGAAAGAAGAAGAAAGCCACAACACTTTGTTAAAACCGCTAAGTTTCAGCTGGTATCATGTCAAAACCACTTGAAACATGAAACCAGAGATCTTCCTAGGTTGACTCAAAGACTATGTCTATACTAGGAGTGCTTTACCAGTGAAGGAATACTGGTATATAAGATTGGCAAAGGTCTCCTGGTATAGATGCAACAGTAGCAGCAAAACTGAGTTTTAAACTGGTCTAGTAAATTGAGCCAGGAGTTTTGTTGATGGACTTGCATCTAGCTGAAGTTCTCCAACAGTTCTAGCAAGTGAATTGGTCAGGGGCAACACCTCTTCACATCCTGGATAGACACAAATATGTCAGCGCAAGTTTTGAGTGTAGAAATGGCCAAAATTAGGTAGAGGTTGTTTTGACACTCTTTTGAAAAAATTAGCCAGCTCTGAATTTAGAAAAATTACAAAATCGGTTTATTTTGTAGGCTTCACAGTTTTGTAGCAAACTTCTGGCATAGCTGCAGTTAAACGTCTTATTTCGGTCTTATAATCTGTGACACATGGTACTTTACGATTTCTCTCAGCACAATGAAATCTGTCTCTCAGCGTGCAATCATAAATGTTGCATACAACCCTCACAAGCAACCTTCGGAGATTTCTCCATAACCCAGATTGTTTATTGTAACAGTGGTCAGCGCTGGTGCTAGAAGGAAACCGCCACGTGAGAAAATTGTATTATTATTCTGATAGAAAGACCATTAAATGCTGGCCACTTCCCTCAACACCAGTGCAAAATAAAAATGCTGAATAAAAATGTTCATTCTAATATGTACTATTGCACACACGGAGGACAAGGCAGAGCAACGTGGCAGTTAGCATTTCAGCAGATTCCTACTCAATTTACCCAGATTGACTATTTTGGACTATTTTGGGTTTACGGAAAAAAGGTATTTTAAAAAAAGAAAGACATTTTCAGCTACAAACACTATAGAAGAATCCACTTCCCACCTAGCTTTGCTTGGAACACATCTCTCACTCTGTAACAGCCTCTTTTACTGCAGTTGAGACACAAATATCCATAAGCAATTACTACCGTTGCCTGTGCAAGTCAAACCTATGGTTCTGTCTCTTACCTGTAATCTGACTCTGTCCTTGTGGATTAAAAGGACTTGGTGCAGAGTTCAGAGAGGGCCGTGGGCTCTGGGTCGGGACCCCTACTCTCATACTGGGATGAGGAATGCGCCCTAAATCACTGAGGCGTTCAGAGAACAAACTAGGTTTAGAGTCATCAAGCTTCTGTCTGTGCCCTGGAAACAGCAAATCATAAAATAAAAGCGTTAATAACAAGATTTAGTAATTTAACACACCCCAAAAAAACCCCAAAATGGCCTCTAAGGACCTGTTATTAGATTTAATGGACTTACAGGTATCTCAGCTACCCCCGATAACACAGCAAGATCGGTGGGGTGATTTGTGTTTTGGGCATGGTTGTGCTGGTGAAAGCCTTATCGAGTACAACTGTGCCCATACAGATGTGTAACACGTTGCAATTTGGATCAAAATAAGCACTTATGAGGACACCCACACAAGGTCTTTTTTGTCTTTTTTTTTTTTTTTTTTTGCTGCTTTAACCTTACTAAGTAGTTAAAGGGGCAAACTTTCTTGTCCAAAAGCAAGCCTCATATGTAAGTACAAGTTATAAAGTTGGACAGTTATTCCATGCCTGGTTTACATGTTGTGGATTTTTGCTAAGAAAATGCAAGCTTTTCTTCTCCCCTTATTTTTTTCTTTAACTGTGTCACAGTTAGTCATTAGCTTTCATTCCTCTGGGAGATTTTCCTAAAAGTAAATAGTCAATGTCATTTGAGACGGCCAGTATCGCAAGGAAAACCTTCAAAGCTGCTGGCCAAGACTGGGTCCTACACTCCCTTGCATGGTCACCCTTCCTCAGTGCTCCTACTTCTCTCCCCAAAAACAGGCTAACTGCCCTCTTGCCATATGGCCACAATGGGAAAAGTCATTTAGGGGTGCTCGGTTGTCAAAATGTAAAGGGGAAAAATGGCAAAAGCAACAGGATGCCCCAACGGGTACTGCTCATATTGTCATTGAGATGTTTCAAGAGTAAAGGCTTTCCTTCTCTAATTGTTGTATTTTTGCTCCTAGGTTTAATTTCTTTCCAAAGTAGTTATAGGATGCTCCTCGCTCAATGGCGCCTTTGAATGTGAGGCGCAGAAGGTGTTATTTCTATCATTCAACATATGGAGAAACAGGCATGCAGAGAGATTAAGGTCAGGACTAATTTTACTTAACTTTAGCCATTCATAAATCAGGCACCTAGTCTAAACTCTTCTAATGTAGACTTCCTCTACAGTTAATGGAAAGAAATAGCTACTTCCAGAGGGCAATTAATCTCATTTGTCTCTAACACCAATCTTAAAACAGGATGATTCACCTTCTGAATTTGCTTTCTCTTCCTTCTCTGGTCAGAAAGGGAGCACACATGACTAGTTTAATTAGACACCCTCACCATTAGTCAACATTAAATGGAATGAATCTTACCCTAAGTTACTGACCAAGGTCACACAAAAAGCCTCTGGGCAGAGCTGGAACGGGGGCCCAGACCCCCCTGATTGCAACCCAGAACCACGTCTGCCTCCATCCCTGTAAGCAGTGCCGCGGCACAGGCACAAGAAATAACTGGGTAGGATATTTTTATGTTTTTAACAACAAGAAGGGTCCCTGGTAGGGTTTGGGCTTGAACCCTTCCAGATGATCCCCAGCAGCTTGAGATAATTCGCATTGTCTCTCAGCAGTGTGAACGCAGCCATCTGTCTGGAGGCTACGGGAGTTCAGCTTTGCAGACACAGTCAGATTGTCCCTTCGGTCTTAGGGCTATAGAACCAATTCTGGCACTGCTTAATTTATTTTAAAAGCATAAATGAGGCCACTGAATCTTGAGACTGAACTATCAGACTACCACTCTGAAAAAAAATGCCTTTTAATGGTACCTCTAACCACAGTACTGAAGTACCCAGGTTCACATCATCTAACTGGGACCATGGTGCCTACATGACATCGCTAGCCAAAGCGATGTCAGTACTAGACAGCTAAATCCAAACTAGATTCAGAGACATCATGGTTCTAGATAGAGAAGTGAAGGATTCAGGTTGGGAGAGGAGAAACTGGATGGAATTTAATTTTGCAGAAACTTCTCTAGCAATTTAAAAAAATTAATTAGCTGACCCATTATTTTGCACTTTGAAGTGTGATTTTCCTCCCCCAGGATGACTGAGTCTAAAAGCAGGGGGTAGGCGGGAGCTTTCTCCTTAAGGAGAAGGTGCTGCTCTATATTAGAGCTGAGATGGGTGGCTACTCCTCTCTTCAGGAGGTATCAATCACTTTAAATGGGGAACTATTTTTGGTGGGCTTGTAACAACTCTGCAATGGCAGCTTAATTAACAGGATAACATCTAACCTGGTAGTCTTTAGCATTATCTTTTCAATCTATTTAAATCACAACTTGTACAAGCTGGGTGCTGCTAAATCTGAAGAAACGACTTTCACACGCACATGCAGTCAGTATTCTCTTGGGATTTCTCCTTCTCCATCTTCTTTTCCTCCACAATTTTTATGCATTTGCTTTTCCCTTTGCCAGTCGTATCTTCCACTCTGTTTTTTAAAGGCATCTCCTTCCCCTCCCCTTTCCTCTTCTACTCGTCCTAATCACATTTCGGCAAATTCAAGAGGGCTCAAAATAAAGCAAACATGATTAGCCTATCTCTGGCCTCACACACCAGGGCTGACTTTATCAGGAATGAATCCACCCCCAAAGTGAATTTTATTTTGAGTTTTTGTAGAAAAATCCTGTGCTATGTTCACACAGTGCCCTTTTTGCTAAAGAATCACTAACAAACTGGTGCACAAGCTATTTTAACTATCTTCAGATAACTCAGTGAACACTTGCTATATAGGTCACCACTCCTGCACCAACCTGTGCCCGATAACCCCCAGCTTTGTTTTCATCACGCTCTGTTTGCCCGTGCATAGCTTTGCTAGAGAAGAGTCTATATTTAATTATGTGTATTATTATTATAATGAACTAGGTCACACACAGCAAGACAAACTCCAGCAGGATAGCAGTGCACTTCAGTGTAGGTAGGGGGAAAATAAGAAGAAAAAAAGGAAATAAAGAGGAAAAAAAGAGGGGAAAAAAAAGAAATAAGAAGAAAGATTCCCACATCTGGTTGAATTGAAATGATCTA